GGAAATGAAAAGCTACTCTGCTACTGTCCCATTTAACAATCTATGAGAGTTCTTAAAATTGGATGTATATTTTCAAAACTGCTTTATGTATTTGATGTCACTTTTGATATAATTAGATTAAAAGAAAAATTACACTTAATTTGGACTCAGGGTAATAGGGGAGTTACTTCAATGTAGTATAGTAATATACTCAGGTAGTTGGAATAAATCCAGACTTTGATGAGTACTTTTACTTGATCTAGGAAAAAGTAGACTGCTTCAGAGTATCTTTGGCCTTTTTGCAATAAGAAGTTGGCTAGCTAATGTTAATAGAAGAGGCATGGGACATCTGTTTTTTGGGGGGCAGGGAGCTGTTTGTGTCGATAAGCTGGAGTAGTGGTCTTCTTTATAAGGATGTCATTCAGATTGTAACTGTGGTAACCATAGGAAATGGATATCCGACTGTACCTGAGCTTCAGCTTCCCATTGGGAGCAATAAAAATGCAGCTCTGTAGGGGAGTTACATTTAATGAAATTAATGATTAAAAAAATATCACTGAGCATTTCTGCCCTCACAGATACTGTGGTAAAGTGCTTGACACATATTATCACCCTTAATTCTTCCAGTCCCTTGTGATACCAGTGTTCTGTAGATGCAGGATAGTGAATCTCAGAGAGGTTAAGTAACTTGTTTAAGATATTACAAAGACCCGAGTTTGATCCCCGGTACCAAAAAAAAAAAAAAAAAGAAGATATCCCAGCAGATTAAACAGATGAGCTCATCTAGAACTTGAACTCCTACCCACTGTGCTTAGAAAACATTACCAGGCCTGGTCAAGCGAAGAGCTCAGTAAATAGTCTCTCGTTCTATCATAGAACAACTGGGGTTGAGAAGTGTCTTTACTACAAAACAGATTGAGGGGCTGGGGATTTAGTTCATTGGCATCGTCTCTGCCTAGCAAGCACAAGGTCATGAGTCATGAGTTTGATCCCCCATACTCCTTCCCCACAAAAAAGGAAACAGGCATTTAAAGAAATAGTTTATGGGCCAGGGATTTAGCTCAGTGGTTCCGCCGCCTGCCTCATAAGTGCAAGGTCTGGAATTCGATCCCTGGTACCAAAAAAAAAAAAGAGATTGGATTGAATATTTTTATAGCCATCCCAAAACATTATCATATCTGTATGCCTGTTCTTTTTTTGTTGTGCAGCTGCTGGAAAAGAACGTGTATGGATGCAATTGTTACAGCCCTTCTCTTCATTTTTTCCATAATTATTTAAGACCAAGAAATCCTTAATACTTCTGATTGAAGTCTATAGAAGATCTCATGTTGTATTTAACAGGTCTTGAGACTAGTTTCTCAAGTATCTACTGACTTAATTTGTGTCAGTGATTAGTTTCAGAGGAAAGGAGTAGTAAAAGGAATAGGCTCAGCACAGCACGTACAACTGATGCCAGTTATAAGGGAAAACAGCTCTGAAGCTGAGTGTACCAGTTTGCTAGGGCAGCTCTAACCGAGTACCACAGGCTGATGGCTTAAATGTATTGACCCATAGCTCTGCAGGCTAGAGTGGGAGATCAGGCCAACAGGGTTACTTCCATCAGTGGGCCTTGTGAGAGTGTTCCATGGTTCTTGCCCAGCTTCTTGTAACTTGCTGGCAGTCTTTGGGATTTCTCAGTTTATAAAAGCCTCACCTGATCTGTGTGTCTTTGGGTTTAAGTGCTGTGCTCCATGTGTGTCTCCCAATTTTTCCCTTTTTATAAGGCTACCATAAAGGATTACAGACTTTTTATGGCTTATTTTAACTTGATGATCTCTTTTAAAAAGACTCTCAAAATAAGGTCACATTTTGAGGTACTGGGCATTAGGAGTTCAACATAAGAATTTGGGGGTTACAGTTCAACCTTTACAGCTGTGTCACATGTACCCTTTGTCTGGTGGCACCCCCCCCTCCCCGCCACTGGCTGAAGTATTATACATAGTTCGTCCGGTTTATTAAGTTCTATGTACTAGGGTGCAATTGCTGTCCAGAATATCATCAAAATAATGAAGTTCTACAGTGATTTGAAATTGGAATTCCCCTTTGTCAGCCCAGGCTGCTTCAGGTTTGCAGCTTGCAGTGGGAAAGCTGACATTGTTGGCTTCCTTGTTCTGGTCTTCTTTGATCTTCTGCTTGCCTGGACCCCGTAATGAGGGGCTTAAGAGAAAAAAGCCAGTAGGGTGATGACTGGCAGTTGTGTGGTTGTTTTTGGCAAGTTCCTGGCAAAGTGCAGAGTCCCCTGCTGAAGCCTCCTGCCCTACCCTACAACTCTGTGGATACAACCCTGTCATGCCCTAGCCCGGTGGGGGGTGGGGACACCCCTTGCTCTGTGTGCTCCGCCCTCTGCTGGTTTTCTCTGACTACAGTGCACACTTTGGGAAGCCATCTTTTAAGGCATCCCCAAGCCCACTCTGGCTCACGGGAAGCAAGAACCTTTGGTGTCAGTGGAGTATAGAAGGTAGATTGTGGCTCAGCCATACATCTCACCTGTAGGCATGAGTCAGATCCTCATCTGAGGCTATTTAAGTGCAGGAGGTACTTGTCCAGCTCTTTAGGTACAGTAGTTCCTTTGATGCCTATCTAGTTTGATGTGTGATGAGGAACAGCATTCTGTTCTCTCCATAGGCAGAGATGGGAGTAGACACCCTCTAGCAACATATTCTGTTGGGCCTTTTCAGCTGAGGCTACAGGAGATGAGAGGCTAAGACGGGCAGTCAGTAGGGCTCACATGCATGGACAGTGTTTCTGATATCTCAGTGTTAACTTTGCTCCTTCTGGAGGTACCGTCACTAAACAGTTAAAAGAGGGATGAAGACCAGATTTGAGGTGCTTATCATATGTAGAGGAAAAGAAATGACTTTAATTATATTTCAGAACAAGGGAGTTGGGTCACCAGATAGGAGTTCTAACCTTGAAGAGATTATCCTTGCTTTGCAGTTCACACATTTAAACGTGTTAAAACAAAGTTTAATACAAAATTTCTCTGGCATGTTTTGTGTTTGTAGAAAACTTCAGCTACTTATTTCTTAGCTCATTTGGATTTCCTTAGTGAAGGAAAAATTACAGCTTCCCATTTTCGCCCACGTGACTGTACAGTCTCTAAAATTAAAGTCTTATGCAGAGGGGATGAGTAGCCTTTGTGTGTGCACTGAATCCAAAAGCAGAATTGTGTTGTTTTATTCTGCAAGGATCATTCTGTATAAAGGTAGGATATAAATGCTGACTCTTCAGTATTTAATTTTACTACAATAAAATTCATTCAGCAGTTTAAATGTGATTATTCCAATGCTACAATATACTGTTAGAGAACATTGAAAATTGAATAAAAAATTAGTTTTAAGTATGGTAGCTACTCGGATAACTGTATTTGTCTATGTAGTGTAGTATAAAGGCATTAATTCCTGTGGCCTTTTTAAACTCTGTGGAAAAGACCTAATGTTGAGGGAATGGAGTAGGAATTTGAGTATAGCAAAAGCTGACAGGCAGAGAAACAACACTATTACAACCAGCCTGTACAGTTAGGTTGGAATACTGAAATCTTTCAAAAATAACCCAGGTGTGGTGGCACACGCCTGTAATTCCATCTACTGAGGATACTGAGGCAGAATTGTAAGTTTCAGGCCAGCCTGGGCAACTTAGTGAGAGCCTGTCTTAAAATTTTAAAAGGATTAGGGGTTGTAGTTCAGTGGCAGAGAGCTTACTTAGCATGTTTAAGGCTTTGGATTCAATTCCCACCATAAGGGATGGAAGGGAAGAAATGAAGGAGGGACAGAAGGAGGAAGAGGAAAAGGAAAGAAATCCAAAGTAGTTGTGAAAGACAGGACAATAATATATGAAATAATCACGTTTGGTCCACAGCAGCAGCAGTAGTACAGGGAACCTGAAAGCACTGGAGCTGAAAAAAGGAGAGAATGGCAAGCTTAATAGCTACTTGTTTTTTTGTTTTTAATGTTTACTGTTTGGGAATACATAGGCAACGCAGGGAACCAATAAACCTGAAAATAAATTAACTATAAATTGTGGACCTTTGAAAAAGATAAAATATTGTTAATGTAGGAAAGTTTACTTTTGGCCACATGATGTTATATGCCCTCTCCCCCTAAAAAGAAAACTTTTACTTGAATGAGAAAATCACTTTTATTTTTAAGGAGTGTTGACATAATCAATACCTATCCCTTTTATCGTGTACTAATAAAAATTCATTTAATGTAGGAGCTGTTTTAATTTTGGGGGTATCGGGGATCAAACTTGGGACTTTGCATCTGTAAGGCAGGCGCTGGAACCACTGAGCTAAATCCCCGGCCCATTTAAATGTTTATTTTAAATCATCACTAATGATTCTCCCTTGTAAAACTGGCCTTTGGATTTCTAGAGCTTTCAGAAATATATCCTTCCCACCGTGGAAAATTATTACCAGTACAAAATTCTTTGAGGGCATTTCATTTTGATACATTGTGGGAAGTTGTTTTTGCCCATATAAAGAGTCGTTTATGCATGCCCATATCCACTGGGGAGGGGTCAAGGTTAGAATCATTCAGCTACAAATTATCTTCGGAGTCCTTGAAAATATGTGGCAGAGAAGCTTGAACTTTAAAAACTCTTTTCTAGGCTCACTGGTTTATTCATTCAGTTAACAAATACTTGTTGAAAATCTTTTATGTAACATGAAATATGGTAAGATGTTCAGACACCATTGACCTAAGCATACTGCCCTTGCACTGAAGGAACACAGTCTTCTGGGTTTAATCTTTATTCGTTCACAAAAATTCCTAGCTTTATATAAATTTGGTCTAGTTTCTGTTGAGTATCTTACTGGTTTGAGATATTTTATTGCAGGGTAGTGCAGAGCCTCTGTGGACTAAATTCTTTCATACTGCTATATTTGTTAAACTCCCTCTGTGTAACTATGAAAGTCTCAGTACAGTGGGATCTTTTTCCCTAAAGCATAGCACCAATTTTAATATTTCTTGACATCCTTGCAGAGACTATGCCTTCCAGCAATACAAGCACATCTAACAGCAGCAGCACCGTGAAACCATTAACTACAGTTTCCTTGGTCTCAATCAATATGACAGCTGTCACCATGAAATCTACTTCTAAAATGGCAACACCAGGAGTCTCAACCAATACAACAACTCCCACCACCTCAAAGTCTACAACTAAAACAACAAGTATTTCACAAAACGTATCCCAGATGTCAACACCTATGATGACCACAACCCACAGTAGTTTGGTGACACTGCTAACCAGTATGTATTAAAAGTCGACCTACTTTTTCTGTGCTGCAAATAAGTTGTTAAATGCCATATCATTCTATTCTACAAAAATATATAGACTTTTCTGTGCCTAAATTTTTCTCATTTCCATGTCAATGTTCTTTCACAGAAATCCTGGAAGTTTTAGTTACAGTGTTTTTGTTTTGTTTTTTAAAGCACTAACACTAGTTTTTTTTTTCTTCTGGTCACAGCAACTGTTCATTCTAAAGAAAATAGAGGATCAAAATTTGATACTGGCAGCTTTGTTGGTGGTATTGTATTGACACTGGGAGTTTTATCTATTCTTTACATTGGATGCAAAATGTATTATTCAAGAAGAGGCATTCGGTATAGAACCATGTAAGTTTTTCATGTTTTTTTCCCTATATATATTATTAGTGCATATTCACTTTACAAAGCAAGAGTTTTACTGTGGCATTTTGATAGATGCATATGACATACTTTGATCATATCCACCCTCCCCACAATCCCTTCCCATGATCCCTTTCCTCTTGTCTAACAGTCTCCCTTCTACTTTCATGTCATCTTTTTCCCCCCTAGCTTCCACATATTAGGGAAAATGTATGATACTTGTCTGAGTCTGGCTTATTTCACTTAACATATTGTTCTACAGTTCATCCATTTTCTTGCAAATTACATTTCATCCTTTATGGCTGAATAACACTCCGTTGTAGACACATTTTCCGTTACTCCATTGCATAGACCGTGTTTTCTTTATTCACCTGTTTGTGGGCTATCGTGAACTGTGCCACAATAAACATAAGCATGCTGGTATTTCAGGTATATACTGTGAAGTGGTATGGCTAGGTCATATGGTAGTTCTATTTTTAGTTTTTTGAAGAATTTCCATAGTGGTTGTGCCAATTTACATTCCCACCAATGGTGTAGAAAGGCTTCTACCCCCAACCCCCTGAATACCTCACCAGCATTATTTTTTTGTATTCTTGCTGACAAGCATTCTGTTTTGATTTGCATTTCCCTGAAGGCTAAAGATGTTGAATATTTTCATATAATTATTAGCCACTATTTCTTTTGAGAATTATCTGTCCCATTCATTTTTCTATTTATTGACTGGATTGTGGCTAAATAAATGTTTTTTATATATAT